TGGCACTTTATGTAGAGTATGTTAATGATGATATATATGGTTTGTTGATGTAAATAGCTTGAATAAAGACATAATTGCATGTGCTAGTGGAGATTGAAAATATAAGAGTTAAATGCACCAGAGGTCCATAAACTTGTATGTGTGTTTCAATTAGGTCCATCAACTTTAAAAGTGAATTTCTATGTCCATAAACTTTTAAAGTTGTTCACCATAGGTCCATACCTCTCCACATATACATCATATGCTAACGTGTCATGCCACATGTGCGTCTTCCCTCTTCTTTTTCCTCTCCCACTCGGTCTCTCGGACACATTTCATCGAGTAGGTCCTGGGCGACCTTGAGCTCGCGCACGCCTCGATTCTCATGCTCGTTTCCACCAGCCACTTCAACTGCTTGTCTGCTTGTCGTCGACACCTGGGTGCAGGCTCATGATTGAATGCAGCAGCAGCAGTGTCGCGATGGTGTTCATGTGCAACGCCCAAGCGAGTGCGAGTTCCTCTGAAAATGCGCCAAGGTCATCCTTGCCGGCAGTCGGCATGCAGGACAAGTGGACAACGTCTGCCGCGCCATGGCCGCCGAGCTCGACCTGGACGTGGCCTACACCCTCTGCGAGGTGGTGAACTATGCCATGAACAAGCTAGAGATGATGGAGCGAACAATGTTGGAGTGCGCAGCGGAGGTGATCTCAGCGTTCAACAATAGCTACTGACTGAGCAAGGAGGTGTTCCTGGCTCAGCCAGAGCTCGAGTTCATTGTCTTCTCCTCCATCAACAATGCATGCATCCTAGGCATGCAGTACATACCGACTAAGGCCAATGAAAACATGAAGATATTTTGTGGAACACGTAATTAATTTTATTAGTCCAAATCTACTACGGGGTAGTATACGAGTTATAACACACGACAGCAGTGCACGGCGTCCTTTGTTCTCTTCATCGCCGTGCATGACATGACCTCACCACCTCTCATGAGCCATGTTCTTGTTCGGCAGTCTGCGGTTGGAACTCGGCAGCCACCCTGAGTGGCTGCATACAGCACACCATGGCGCGCCACAGGTGCCTGACGTGTTGTACAACAACATGGCCTCCCTCATCCGGTCAGCCCCCCTAGATGAAGATGCGTGGGGCAGAGGGCTCGTAGTACCGTGCTTGCTCGCATCGCCGGACCTCACGGACTTCGACCACGTCATGGTGGTCAGCGCACGGTTCCACGCGTGTGGTGGCCTCCCTCAAGCACGCCGTGCATCGGTGCATGGGTACCCAGACGCCGACTCCATTCTCTACAAGAGCACATCTGTACGTATAGGTATATCCAAAGCCATGGTCCTCGGCGTGTACGCGTAGTACGGGCGGTGGCTGAGGAGCTAGCTTCTGGCGCGCTCGGGCGTGCGCATCAACACCATCAGGCCGAACGCCATCTCGATGCCACCACTACCGGCTACTCCGCTCGCTCGTGAGGTTTGCACACAGGTGTCGACAATTAATGAGCAGCTGAAGCACGTGTCTAGTGGAAACGGGCATGAGGACCGCAAGCTCTACGTCGCTCAAGACCTGCTCAATGAAATACGGAAGAGAGCTGAGGGAGAGAGAAAAAAAGTGAGAGACATGAGAGAGAAGACGCACACGTGGCACGCCACATCAGCATAAGATGCATATGTCGATGGGTATGGACATATACAACGCGTTCGGCTGGCCGGCTGGCTGGGGCTGGGCTGGCCAGCGCACGCACATGGTCACTGTACACGTGAACAGTGATTCCAGATAGAACAGTGTTTTCTCTCACAACAATCAGCCGGAACAGTATTTTGGTTTATTTTCAGTCCTGCCGAACAGACTCATAGTGTACAACTTTAAAAGTTTATGGACCTAAAACTCTACTTTTATAGTTGATGGACCGTATCGAAACATCCATGCAAGTTTATAGACCTTTCGTGTATTTAACTCAAAATATAATAGATATAGATAAATTACATAAAAGAATGGTCAGGGTCTCGATGGGTTTTCTCGGTCTAACATAGCAGGACAGCCATCAGCCCACAACTAGCAGTCAGCGGGGCTTGCACGCATGCCCGCGAGCAGGCCTTGCGGAGGCCGTGGCCCAACTCAGCCCGTGAGCGTGTACGAAAATATTTTATTTCACTTTCACGAAATTTGTAGTGTCGTTTCCGACTTTTGAGTTCCAACATAGTGAATGCTACACCCATCCCAAAATAAATACTCCCTTGCTTTTCAATTACATAAAACGTTTTGACTTTTCTACTTATATTATTTTTATATATATCTAGACATAGTATATATTTAAATATATAGCAAAATTTATGTATGTAGAAAGGTCGAAATGTCTTATAATTTAGAATGGAAGAAGTACGTTTCTAGCTATGCATCAAGACAAATGTTTATCTAGATATATAGCTAGAAATATATTTATTTTGCGACATAGAGAGAGTATATCACTATGAATTCACTAAAAACTCAAATGCAACTGCATGAGTGTAGCAAACAAATGATGTACTATAATTCAGAAAATCATATTTTCTGTAATGAAATTCATTACTATTGAACTAATCGAGATTTCAAAGATTTGTGAAAACATATTGTTTTGTTTGTGTTTCTTCACATAAAAAATAAATATTTCGAAGGGTGACACACGAATGCATCAAACATAATGAGATTTTTTTTTAAATGTCAAAATCATTATTAATATAGTAATTTCTTGGTTTGAAAAATAGAATAGATCATGACAATAAATGTCATGTTCATAATACCAAAGTATTTTGGATGATACAAGAATTTCCTTTTTTTAAAAATATTCAACAATTATAGCATTACCATAAAAATCGCCATAAATTAGTAAAGTTGGTTATGATGATCATGGGTTGGCACCAATGACTGTAGGACCTAAGGAACTGGCTGGAGGGGTGGGGGTGAATAAACGATGACAAAACACTAAACAAATTAAGTTAGAACCATATATACTACTTCCTAACTAGTGAGGTTTAAAACCTAGGATGACAAGCAAGCAATTCAAGTCTAGGAAGATAAACAACAAAAAGTAACAATGAATTGAGCTTGAGATCAAGGGATACCACAACGAAGACACAAGAATTTAGCCCGTGGTATCGATGATTTGCTAGTCACCCCTAATCCATGTTGAGGTGAGCTCAATGTTCACAACTCCTATACCAAACTTCCAACCCTATCTCGGTAACATGAATGCTTGATTTTTTGAGCAGAATAGAACCAAAGAACTGCTCAACACTTTGATATCTACTGGAGTTGCTCTTTGCCTTCACTGGTAGGGATGAGCACAAGAGCCTCTCGCAAATCAGCACCGAAGCACCTACCACATTTTTGGCGCGAAGTTCTTCAAGAGAGTCCACAAGCTTCAAAGCCGTCGAGGAGGCATCAACCTACTAGAATAACAAGCACACCCACTTGGGAACCAACCACCTAGTGTACCGCTTCATCAATCTCTCAGAGCTTAGCACTAGAATCTAGTAACTCCCACTCTCTAAAACAAGCAAGTTACCTGTGTACGACAAACGATGCAAAGGCAAATTATGGTTGTGTCCGCTAAAATTAACCTCTTTATTTGGTTCAGTGCCAAATTTCAGCTTTGGCAACTCTCTCGTCTGGCCATCTTAGTTTATTTTGGTAGGCAAAATAATTTAAAACCATGGTCTGTGATGATAAAAAAATATTAGGACACATTTGGATCCTCAGCTATATCTCGCCTCGCCTTACTTGGTGAGGAATTGCAACAAAACCAAATGTTTGGGCTCTGTTCATTTGGGCTTGTTTGGTTAATAAGCAATGACTGAAAGTACTGTTGGCTGATTTAATGTGAAAGAAAAATATTATTCATTAGCTGAAAAAATATGACTTATAAGCCAAACAAGCTCAATTGAAGATGACGTTGATTGAGCGGCGAGTCACTTGGGTGCCTGTGCTGGCAAGCCAAATCTTTGGTAAGATGAGACAAGTTTCCCACAGAAGCCAAACGCGCTCTTAGTTAATTAATTAACGCATGTCACCTTTCGACGGAAAACATAGGCATTGTTTAGATTGCAAATTTTTGCAATCCGAACACTGTAACACGTTTTGTTTGTATTTGATAAACTTTGTCCGATTATGGACTAATTAGGCTCAAAAGATTCGTCTCGTGATTTACAACCAAATTGTACAATTAATTATTTTTTTTACCTATATTTAATGCTTCATGCATGTGTCTAAAAATTAATGTGACGGATAGAGTGAAAAATTTTAGAATTTTGATGGGATGCCCACCGAGCGTCCTTTCGCAAAAGATGACGACGACCCGCCGGGAGTTTTTAAAATTTAAACCCGTCCCCGTACACCGTGGCTAGTCGGTCCGTGCTCCGTGGCCGTCCGCTTCGCCTCAACCTCAATCATTTCACTCTCGAGGCCCCACACCACACGGCAGCATTTACTTTTGTGCAAGAGACGAGACGAAAGTTTGAACGAGCACACATGTTGTCGTGTACTCGTGTCCCTCGTCCCTCGTCACACGGATTCTGGATTCATTACGAGAACGTAGGCTAAGGCGGGAACCCCTCCTCTCCTCTCCTGGGTTGTGACCCGCCGCCAGGCTGCCTGGGCAGGCCAGGCATGCCCGTCAGCCAGCGCCACAGCCGCGCGCGTTCGGCGTCCGCCGTGCCGCTCGCCACGCCAGCGACCGGGCTGCTGCGGCGCTTGCAAGTATCGCCCGGGACTCTCCCCCTGCTATCCACACCCACCCGCCGCCGAGCCCGAGAACGCCGCCCTTCCCAACCCGTTCCGCTCCCACCTGCCCGAAGAGAGAAGTAATAGTATATCCTGGAAACAGAGCCCCGTCTCCCCTGCCGCCGCCTTTCACGCCGCGCCTCTCCCACGCCTTGACTACGGCAACCCCCACCTCCTCGCCTCCCGCGAGCCCACCCCAGGCTGCGCGCGCGCCTCCCCCAGCGGAAGCGCGCGTCTCCCCCCTCTCCCGCCGCTTCATGGCAGGGGAGGACCCCTGCGGCGGCGGCGTTGGCCCCGTCGACGCGTGCCCGCTCTGCGGCGGCGCCGGGCCCCCATCGCGCGTCGCCCTCTCCAAGCGTGCCCCGCCCGCCGACGCCACGCTGGCGGTATCCTCCGCCGCCTCCGTAGCAGCCGCGCCCGGCGGCGGCGGGGACGAGGCGTCCGCGCTCCGCGAGCAGCTGGCGCGGCACCGGCGCGGGGTCGCGGACCTGCAGGCGGAGCTGGAGGCCGAGCGCGGCGCCGCGGCTGGCGCCGCAGCCGAGGCCATGTCCATGATCCTGCGCCTGCAGCGGGAGAAGTCGGAGGCCATGATGGAGGCCCGGCAGTACCGGCGCTACGCGGAGGAGCGGTTCGCGCACGACGCCGCCGAGGCCGCCGCGCTGCACGACGCGCTCGACCGCCGCGACGCCGCCGTCCGGTCCCTCACCGCCAGGCTCAGGGCGTGCCAGGCGCGCCTGCTCCACCTCGGCTTCCCTTCCCCGTCCCCGCCGTCGCTCCCTGCCTCCCCGACCGCGGCCTACCACCCCTGCCCCTGCTCCGACGGCTCCTCCGACGACGACGACGGCGACGGCTGCCGTTCCGTCCAGTGCCTCGACCACCCCGCGGCCGACGTGGGAACCCCGCGCACCCACCACCTGCTCAACAGAATTCCCAGCCCGGACTCCGACAAGGCGGTCGTCATGTTCGGCTCGCCGCGCCACCGCTGTTCCTCGCGCCACGCTCGCACGCTCTCCGGCGGCGGCGACGGCGGCGTCCCGTACGACTGCCGGATCGCGTTGGCCGACGAGTTCCCTCTCTTCACGGACCGGGACGCGCCGGACCAGGACGACGAGGAGGCTGACCGGGTGTACACTGTCGACGCGGTGCATGGCGTGCCCGTCATGGCGCCCGAGGACTGCTGCTACTTTGGGACGACGACGAGGGAGGGCGAGGTGGGGGGCTGCGCTCGTGCTGGACCTGGGGGCTGGGCGGAGGACGACGAGATACAGAAACTCAAGGCCAGGTTGCTCGCGTTGGAGGCTGATCGGGAGTCCATGCAGCATGCCATCATGTCCATGGGAGATGAGAAGGCGCAGGTTGTTCTGCTCAGGGAGATTGCTCAGCAACTCTGCAGGGACGCAGCGCCATTCCCTGCTGTTCCGTTCAAGCAGGCACAGCCAAGGCTACAATCAGTTGTGATGGCACAGAGGAAGGTGGTGAAGAGGCAGTCATCCTTCGCTAGGATCTTCATTGTGACAGTGATCAAGGTAAATATGTGGGGGGTATTGTGTTTTAGTGTTTCTCTGTTTGGTTGCTTCATTATAGTTCTACTGAGTTGACAAGTTATTGCGTTCCCAATGTACTGTTTGCTTGGAGGAATATGTGATGTAATTTAGACATGCACTAGAAAGGATAACATAATATGCAGGACTCTAATCAATGAGTTATCCGCAACACACTATTGCTTGATAACATGTGAAATCATAATGGGTGCTCATTTGTATTCCCTGAATTTTGGCAGTGACTTGTCCTTATTTGAGTTTTTGGTAATTATTGATTGTCTCATTTAATGGATTCGTCGCTGTTAGAATTGGAACGGATGCACTATTTTATTGAAATGCAGAAATATGCATGATACCCATTTTTTCCTCCCCTGAAAGCAATATACCTAATACCTTGTTTTATGTGGAGATTAAACTGAAAAAAATGGACTGCTCACGTTTTTGTTGATCTTGTCTTCAAGTGTCCATGATTCTCATCTGGAGCTTATATGTTTTAAACTTTTTATACATTATTATTCTAAAATAATTGACCTCTTAAAACATTAGCGAGTGCCACAGGTAGAGATACAGATCGCTACTGTATGTATTCTGTTCAATAAAATGGCAGTATCAGTATGTACCCACATTTATATATCCAAATTCTATGATAGTGCTGGGAAAGTTAGTTGTTTATAATGAACTTGTGGGTTGTGAACCTGTGGTTATTCATGCTGTTGACAATCCGTTGTTTTCTTGGGATGCAAAAACTGCTATACTACAAATGTACTTCTTTTAGTAAAAGATATTCTCCAGTTACATGTGCGTGCCATTCTGCAACTCTGAATAAATCTAAACATTTATAATGTTCATCTTTATTACCATGGTAGCTGTAGGGACTTAACACAATTACTTAAGGTCTTTGTTTATTCCTTAAAGATGTGATGTGCTGCAGCAGAAAGATTGTGTAATGGTGAATGGATGGTTCATCATCCTTTCACTTAGTTCTCTTGCGAAATACTTCTCCCTTCTGTATCTCTTAACAAGGAATCTTCCTGATTTTTTATTACAAGTCTTCCTGAAATATTCAAGATAATGCCCCTCAACTGCACATATATATAAATATGGAAATAACTTATGCTGTTGACTTTGATTACTAATTATTGTTATTTGACTATATCTGTTGCACACTATTCCAAGTGTTCATCGTACCTTAACTAGAGGTCTTGGTCATGTGTGTTTTTCTGTCACACTCCAGAACCAGAAGAAAGGGCAACCTGGATTGGTTGAGAACAGGGAATCAATTTTAAACTAGGTTCTTCATTTGCCTTTATTTTAATGTGCCAGCTGCCAGTCTGCTACCGAATGTGTTGGAAACAAAGGAAAACATGTGATCTTACAATGTCCACATGGTAGTCATCCACCAGGATTGGATTATAACTTATAAATGATGAATGATTGACTAAAAAGCATGACTTTTGACTTTTGACCACACTACGCTTAATTTACGTGTATTGGTCCCAGCGTGTTGTCTTGTTCTGCTGTGCAAATTGTGTTATGGATATTTACTTTAGTTAAGTTATTACATGCTTCCATTTCTCTGAGCTTGGACTAGAGACATTAAATGCAACTAATATCACACCATTTGATTGTTAGCATCTAGCAAAGATTAGTGTTGTACAGGATTTGTTTCATTGGCACCAACTTATTTATTGCTGCGTTGCTTGTTTTATGTGCCATCCAGTGGGTCATGTCTATCTTTTGCTGGCGAAGGAAATCAAATCGCATAAGGTAAGTTGCCAAATCTTGCTCCATTGTCTGATCTTTGGGTGTTACTTTTTCTGCATTTCACCAATGCTTGGTATAATGGCAGGTATCCCATCGGCCTGTGTGGGAGCAATGTCGGATTGATGCTGGTACTGGATAGGTTCCCCAAACAGAGACAAAAGAAGATTCCTAAAAGGAAGTTAAGTGCCTCAACTCTCTGACAATCTGATTACAGGTGACCTAGGGAAAGCCGAGTCATGCCTCTGCGATTATCTGACCCGAATGAGCAGTTCTCTGAACATAAAAGCTGGCTTTGCGAAGAAGCAATTGTTGTTGCACATCGTTCCAACCCTTTTTTCCTATGCATTCTTTGGTTGATTTGGTTTTTGGCAATCTAGCTAAAATGTTCATATCCTTGTGTTTTCTTCCTCTGCCTGCTTTTTTCTACATATATTGTTGATATTCCTTTTTGTGCAGTAGTGTTGAAAAGCCCACTGTAAATAAAACACAGACCACTTTAATCATTAGCAGTAGAAAGTTTTGACACAGCAGCAGAATTCTTTGTTCTTTTCTCTATGTCACCTTTTCTCCCTTTTTGTGGAACAAAATCATTTTGTGTTGAAAGCAAATTTCAAACTGAATAGTTTGTTTTGTGGGAAGGTTTTTCATTTTTTTTAGTGCAATTGGATCAAGTTGATGTAAACTTGAGATCCTATTTTAAAGAGAATTCGGGGAACCAATTTGAAATGCCTTGGATATATTTAGAATCTTAGGTGGTACTGTAATATGGGAAACCAATTTTAAATGTCTTGGTTATATTTAGAATCTTAGGTGGTACTGTGATCAATGTCTATGAACCATTCAGAGTAGCCTCATGTATATAAACACTAAATTAATGATCCAAGTTGCTACTAGTTATTCACATAAGTTATAACTCATCTGAAATTGCTTTACGTAGATATCGAAGTTTTAACTCATCTGAAATTGCTATATGTAATATTCATATAAATTGCAATAAAGCACACCTAATTTTCTCTCTTTTTTGAATATATGCCATAGCTTTAATGGTGGCAGTAAGTTACATATATATGCATATATGGTATTGCTAATGGAGTATGCACATAAGTAGCTACTGAACATTTCATAAAAAATGTTGAACACATCCTGTCAAATTAATTGCTGGATATACAGAAAAAAATGGAACAGGCATTCAGCATGCAGTTTTCTATGATTTTGGAATAGTATGGTTTAAGATTCACTACTAAAATCTTTGTGCGCCCAAAATGAGGACTGGCCACTTTAATTAACAGCCTTGCTAACATGAGCTGAGCAGATCTTCGATGCCAGAATTTTTATTTTTTATTGCTTTTCTTTTGCGGGCAAGGCTTGATGCTGCTTTTGGTCAACTAAAAATATTGAAGGGTGTGTCTACACGTCTGGCGACAGATTTTTCAAACACAAATCTGTCAAATTTTTTACAAATCAACAGCTAACACGCCAGCCAACAAAAAATGACAGTTTTGCAATACAAAAATCTGTCAGATTTGCAAAACCCGTTAGCATTAGCACAAAAGATCCAAAACCCAAATAACAGTCAACCACTTCGTCGCACGGGCTCCACACCGCGTCGCTCTGCACGCCGTACCTCCTGGTGCCGCTGGGCCTCAGCGTGCTCTGCTGCGGCACGGGCACCGACGACGGCGGCTACTACTCCGGCCTCCGCCGTCGCCGCGGCCGCGGCCGCCGGAGCTCAGCCTGCTCGTGGGCGTGCTGACCATGCCGAGCCGGCGGGAGCGGCGGGACATCGTACGGATGGCCTACACGCTGCAGCCGGCGCTGGCGGCGCCCGCGGGCGTGGCGCGTGTGGACATCCACTTCGTCTTCTGCAACGTGACCGACCCAGTGGACGCCACGCTGGTGGCGGTGGAGGCCCGGCGCCACGGCGACGTGCTGGTGCTCGACTGCACCGAGAACATGAACGACGACAGAGAAAGACTCCACCCTGAATCTTGGCTGGGAGAAGCTGGAAGATGTCGTAAACCTGCATTATAGGACTCGGTGCAGGCATAAATCAGTCAGAGTAGGACAAAACAGATAGCACATTGTAGAATTGATCTTCAGATTGCTGCTAGAAAACATAATAGAATTATACGACTCGTTTGGCACAAGATTTCCTGACTGAATCATGTCAATGGTTAAAGCTAAAACACAAAGAAACTAACAAATGAAATCAAATGTGGCAAAGTCAATTTAAACTTCATCTCTGCACTTTACTAGCAAAGAATACAGGTACCATGATCAAGTATAGAGAAAGTAGAAATAAAATAGAAGAGTTTACCTGATCCTTGAAACTACGAGAAAAGCATTTCATCAGCTTGATCAGCTTGATGTTATCAGGGCGGAGGTACTGCCAAACAACTCAGGAACCTAGATCAAAAGGATGTATACAAAATCATGAACAACGGCACAATTTAAGCTTATAACAGAACTTGCCTAAAAACTACAGCAAGAAAAGGTGTTTGTGCACAATACAAATTTGTTCAGATACAAGACAAACAGACACACACACACACAAACAGAGGGAGAGAGAGAGCACACAAAGATACACACCAGCAACGCCATAAAAACACATGTAACCAGACACTGAGACACCCACAAACACCCACAAACGATGACATCCTTGCTATTTAATTTTGAATGAGAGCCTAGCTTCAATGACAAGTAATTAGCAGACTCAGTAAAAAAAAGAGGAATAAAAAGGAACCACTTGCTACTGAAAGCTTCAGTGTCTCGGAGGAAAATGACAGTCACTAAGCAATGACACACTCACATTAGACCAAACATCATCTAAAAAATGTACACCTAACAGTAACAAAAATATTTAACTGAATAACTGAACATGTTTTATATCAGTCACTTCACACTTTACCCAATTTAGACCCTTTATTTAAAATGGAGGTTTTCACCATGGTAGAAGGGATATAAAACAAAATGTGAATGAATGACAACATGCAGCTCTTCCACAACTAAATATAACCTTTACTGCCACATCACAGAAGTGAGTAACCAAAAATGATTGATGCACCAAACTGAGAAAAACTAAGCAGCAATAGGTAGCAAGCAAAACATACATCTTGGAAGGCCTTAGAATGGATGCTACAAGCATCAGTGTTCATCGCTGGAGCAGCAGGGGCAGCAGCAGCAGCCTCTAAGACAAAAACAGTCTCATGCTGAATGGTCCGGGGACCCAATACAGCATCAACAGCCCTGTGTGCCATGGCACTACCAGTACCAAAATGTCATACCTAAAACAAAGTGTTCGTTCAAAATTAATTCGAGGATTACGATAATGTTTATATCTGAAGCTATTCTGAAAAGAACAAGCTTTTAATACATACCTTGAGCAATGGTGGACCCGATTCCTCCAAGCATGGAGCCACTGTCATCCTGAACAGGAGCTGGAGGAGGAGCCTGGCGTGCTGCCAAAAAGAATATGTCAGATGACACATTAGGAACAGAAATGAAACACGTTGCAATTCCAAAACACACACACACTCACACTCACACAGACCCAAAAACACACACACCCAAACACATACACATGTTAAGCAACCATTGATAATCACTTAGAAGCAATCTCACCACATGGAAACCAGTCACAATCAAATACATCTGCACGATAGCAGAGAAGACTCCAACCTCAAATCTTGGCTGGGAGAAGCTGGAAGATATCGTACATCTGCATTTCACCAGGCATAAATCAATCAGACAAAGACACACACACACACACAGAGAAGCACAACCACAAAGACACAAATAATCAACCATGTTTCAGAAAACAGCTACATACTTACAATTACCTCTAGCTGTACGCAAATCACAAACAAAAACAACAGCAGCCCTAGAAAACACATGCACCCACACAAAGACGCACACACCCACACCCACACAAACAGACACAAAACACACACTCTCTCTCTCTCACACACACACAGAAACACCCCCCCCCCACACACACACACTCACACTCACACTCAATCGATTTCCAGTAGCAGCAGCAGCAGCTCTAGCACCTTCAGCAGCAGCACCTAGCAAAGACTTCTAGCAAACAACTCAGAAAATAAAAATAAAAAGAATAAAATAAAAATAAAAGCACATCTGCACATCACAGCAATACAAATCTAAAAAATAATGCTACAAAATAAATGATCAACTCAACTAAATAGACAATCACAACTTTGAAAAATACAGCTAATGGCAAAAGAAAAAGAAAAAAAATTAAAAAAAGAAAAAGAAAAGCAGATCTGCACATTACAGTGCTCATATAAGTCATAAACATCAAAAGAACAAAAAAGAAAGCCCAAAGAAAACTCTGAAAAGCACACCTAATGGCAACAACAACAATAACAACAAAGCCTTTAAGTCCCAATCAAGTTGGGGTAGGTTAGAGTTGAAACCCAGCAGAAGCAATCAAGGCTCAGGCACGTGAATACTTAATGGCAAACGAAAAAAAAGAAAACCTGACAGAAAATGAATATTTAGACAGGGATAGCACTAGTACTAGCTAACAAAAAATGTATATTCACACCAATCTGAGGTAATATGAAGCAAAAAGAACGAAAACCATGGCTAAAAACAGTCTAAAAATTTAGCTCACTGCTGCAGTACTGTTCTAGCCAGACCAGATACTAATCAAGAATTGTTCACCTATAGAAAAACCCGCAGCACCAAAAAGGACTGACTGAGCTAAATTGAGACAAAATAAAATGAATTGTCCGGAAAGCAGAGTCTGCAGGGAAACTGAAAAACTACTGAACTGCAGACAGGAAACTAGCAGAACACTATAAGCTAAAGCTACTACTGCTGGACAGGCCAAAAGTGCTACCTGAAACTAAAACTAAAAGCACCAGAATAGCCACAAGATTTGAAAGACAGTCAATACTAAACCAGATGACCACTACACACGATTAACTGAGCAACTAGACTATCTAAGCACAGATACTAGCTTGCAAGAATTAAATACTAGATGAATATGTAGCAAGAAAGGGACGTTGCACAGAGATTTAATTCGCAAATTGCTACCTGGAAGTTGACTGCACTTTGCCAATCTGAAAAGCAAGAGTTCGGTTGTATTGCTCAATGGCTGCTACTACTGATATTGCTCAACTTGTAAAAATGACAGACCAAGATAAAACAGACACGAGCGCAAGCTGCTAAAAGA